CCTCTGGCTCATGGAGTGGAGCCTGCGTCTCCGACGCCTACCACAACTGCGGTTGTTCCTGCTTTGCAGCCTCCTGAAGACCCCGGCTCTTCGGAGTCTTTGTCGCGTTTGGTGTCAACCGCTCGCGCGCATTCGCCTTCGGCCTCCATTGCTCCTCTATCCTCGGATGGGTTGCAGTCGGCGCCTCGCGAATCAGCCCCCTCTTCGATCGAGGCGGCTTTACATTCTTCGGCGGATTTAGCCTTCCGGGCGTCCGTCGAACGTTTCTCGCATGCTGATTGAGCTCGCGAGCAACGTAACGAACCTGTGTGTGATGCAGCCATTCGTTTCATCCTTCTGGGTCGGCCTTCGGCCAGNTCTCTTTCGGAGATTCGTGACCTGTCTAACAAAGGCCGGTTGCATGTTGAAGATGATGGTTTGGTCTTGCTTGTTCGCAAGCAAACAACGACCCCGTCGTCCACGACCGCACGTCCTGGCGGACGTGCTTCTCGCCTTCTTAACGATGAACCCATTCGGATTTATGTTCCCATGCTCATGCGTCCGTGGATCATGCAAGTCTGCCACGCTGATGCGCCTGTCACCTCGGTGCGGCTCGCACGCTTAGCATGCTAGAACGTTTCTATTGGTGGGTTGGCATGAGTGTTTGTACGAAATAGTGGGTGCGGCATTGTTTGCGATGCCAAGCCCGTAAATCGTCTGGTCAGACTCCTCGGTGGCCTACCATGCCCCTTCCTTTGCCTTCGGGCCCCGGTGTGTCGGTGAGTGTTGACTATTTTGGTCCACTTCCGTTGACACCGCGTGACAACACATACATTCTGCTCTTTACAGACCGTTTCAGCCGCCGTGCTGATATGAACGCGGTTACGGCTGCAGAATTCACCGCCGAAGGCACAGCTGACATCCTTGTCAACAGGTATATCCCTTTGTGGGGTTGCCCGTTGAGTCTTTTGTCTGACAACGGCTCTCAGTTTTGCTCTAACTGTCCCAAGCCGTGTATGCCCGTCTTGCTATCCGCAAAGTGGCTACTAGCTCGTACCATCCCAATGGAAATGGGGGTGTGGAGCGCGTCAGCCACACTATGGCTCAAATGTTGGCTATGGTTGTCAACGAACGACAAGATGATTGGGACATTCATCTCCCACACGTCGCGTTTGCTTACAACAATTCCGTTAGCGCCGCTACCGGTTTAGCGCCCAATGAGGTGCATATGAATCGATTGCCTCGTTTACCGATGACTGTTCATGAGCATCCTTACGCTCGTGGCCACCAAAGCTTGCATCGCGATCAACTCGAATATTGCGATCTTGCTGCTGATCTTACGACTTGGTGCGTGAACAGCATTACCTGTCCGTTTCGCGGATTGAGCGGCGGAATTCCACCCTATCGGACGCTTTTCAAAAGCTTCCTTCTTACACTGTTGGTGGATGCGTTTGGGTGTATAACTCCGAATCTACTATTCGACAAGGCGTTCGTTCAGGCTTAGATGATAAGGTTCTCAAAGCCAAGTTATCTCTACTCTGGACTGANCTCGAATATTGCGATCTTGCTGCTGATCTTACGACTTGGTGCGTGAACAGCATTACCTGTCCGTTTCGCGGATTGAGCGGCGGAATTCCACCCTATCGGACGCTTTTCAAAAGCTTCCTTCTTACACTGTTGGTGGATGCGTTTGGGTGTATAACTCCGAATCTACTATTCGACAAGGCGTTCGTTCAGGCTTAGATGATAAGGTTCTCAAAGCCAAGTTATCTCTACTCTGGACTGACCCCTTCAAAATCTTGGCTGTGGGCCCATGTTCTGACAGCCCTGACGGTCGTCCTTTGGCTTCCAAGTTGCTATACTTGGATCTTCCTACGGACCTGCCGGGCCAAGACTGGAAACCTCGTGTTTCGGTTGTTCGTTGCAAGCCTTGCACCATNTCAAAATCTTGGCGGTCGGTCCATGTTCTGACAGCCCTGACGGTCGTCCTTTGGCTTCCAAGTTGCTTTACTTGGATCTTCCTTCGGATCTGCCGGGCCAAGACTCGAAACCTCGTGTTTCGGTTGTGCGTTGCAAGCCTTGCGCCAACCCGCATGACACCGATGACCTGCCGCGCTTTCTGCCTGCTGGCCTTACTCCGTATGTCCTGAACTCTTATGCGAACAAATCTCCTCCCTACCATGTTACGGAAGACGACGTGTCAACTCTGGTTGAACGTTTAGAGGTTGAACGCATTAGTGACCACCAGTCCGTCCGTGGCCGTGGGGGCATGATAGCTGTCTAATATCAGACACACTGGCAGGGCCTTCTGCGCCCTTCTTGGGAGCGTGAGATGGACCTGCAGCATTCCAAGCCGCACACTCTCCGGTCCTGGGCAGCTTCGCCTGACCAATATCGCTAAACAAATCGCCGTTATCGTGCGATGCGTATTGGTGCCGCTACCAGGGAATTGGCGCGTGCTCAAGGTGCGCGAGCTTTGCCTCCGGGCTACTCGCTTGTTTCCCGTTCAACATGGGACCGTCGCTTCGCCAACACCCCTCTACCGGTGCGCGTCTTCTTCTGGTATAAGACACAAGATGGACTCTGGTGGTTGGGCAAGATTTCTGGACCGCCTCTGCCGTCCGACTTCTACGTCGTCCGCTTCTTGGACGATCCTGGACCTGTCAAGCTCGCCCTTCCCGATGTTCGCCACTCTACCGTCGAATCCGCCGTCCCCGGATCCTGGTGCCTCCAAGTACACAGCGGCAGCGCCCTATTCAAGGGTGTTCTTCGCAACATCGGCATGTCGCGTGGCGACGTTGTGACCGCTTCGTTGTCTGATGACGTCGCGCGCCCACATTAAAATGGTATGCTTGGTTGTTTTTGCCTTCTGTTGCTCTTGCAATCGCATTATTTGTTTTCGTTTTTTCGTTTTCTTTCTTTTGGCTTCAATAGTCCGCCAGGTCGAGCTTTCTCTATTCCCTGCCGAGGTTTTGCCAACTGTTGTTTGGTGTCACGACCCCTCTTCTTCGCAACATCGGCATGTCGCGTGGGCGACGTTGTGACCGCTTCGTTGTCTGATGACGTCGCGCGCCCACATTAAAATGGTATGCTTGGTTGTTTTTGCCTTCTGTTGCTCTTGCAATCGCATTATTTGTTTTCGTTTTTTCGTTTTCTTTCTTTTGGCTTCAATAGTCCGCCAGGTCGAGCTTTCTCTATTCCCTGCCGAGGTTTTGCCAACTGTTGTTTGGTGTCACGACCCTCTTCTTCTTGGTTTCGCTTCCGAAACGTTTGGCTTCCGGCCTTTTTTGTACATTGTGGTGCTTTTGTACATTTTCGTATATTTTTATCTCTACTTCTTAGAGTTTGCGGGCTGAAGGTGTTTCGTGACCTTTGTTGTCGCTCCCACGCTACCGTGGTGAATGTTTGGTGTATCTTATCGTTTTGTCGATACAGGCCTTTTTTTTTACAGTTCCTTTTTCGTCGCTCCGGCGACGCTTGTTTTGTTTGTTTCTTTCGTGTCCTCGTCGGGTTCTGACCTGTTATGGTATTTGTAGCCTTCGCCTGTTGCGGCTCTCCCATTGGTTTCCTCCCTGTTAGCCCCAGTTTATTACTTTCTGTACCTTCTTATTCTAGGTCAAACGATGGTCTTGGGACCCATCGAGTGAGAAGTGTGGGAGAGTAAATTGTGGTATTTTGGAGCTCCGCATCCTCGATACTCTCATTTGGGATTTGACAAGTACTTGTCAAGTTCCGAGATTTACTATCTGCGTACGAGAACCTCCAGGGTGGGCTAGTGTTATGGGATTTGAATGTGAAGGAAAGTACAAACGGTAGTGCGGGCTAATGCCCGCAGAAAAGTGCGGGAGATGCAACTCCACACGGAAGGACAAACAGGGGACATGATCTAGTTGCCCCTGCTTTAGCAGCTAGCTGATCCTGGCGCCATCCTAGTCAGTCCTCTACCTTCCCTTGGCAACAGCGACTACTGCTGTTCCACACGACTTAATAATAAGTGAGTTCGTCTTCACGGGTCTCCCAGATTGCACCGCGGGTGCATATCCTTTACATCACCCAATAACTTTCAACAAGTTGTCAGAGTGAAAACATCTCGAGAATTCATTCACAAGAATTTGGATTACATCACCCAATAACTTTCAACAAGTTGTCAGAGTGAAAACATCTCGAGAATTCATTCACAAGAATTTGGATACAAGACCGGTCGCCCCGGTGGGCTAGTGAGTAACCTGGAAGCCTGCTAAGGGCCAGGCCATGGGTTCGAGTCCCGGCAGGGTGAGTTTTTTTCTCACTAAATAAATCCTGGCCTAGGATGAAAGCGACGCGTCGCAAAGCTCGTTGTTAGTAAACCATAATTGACTTCGTAAGTCGCGAGGGAAGGGATTGCTGTACCCTTCTCGCGATAAAAATACCTCAGGCAGGAACCGCAGGAGGGGGTCCAGCCCCCCCCTCCTATGTGACCCCGGTTGGGTCGTCTAGCTAGTAGAAGTGGAGGATAGGGGCCAGGGGGCAGATGACAGAATCCGATTATGGGAGAAAAAAATTTATAAAGACTATATATGCATAGTCTAGACTAAATCAAGGTGTTTAGAATACCACACACACCCGTAGGAAAACAATATTTAGAGTTCGAAAGCTATCACACTGAACGGTGTGTGCGTGGTGTTGTGTAGGGCGGGTGGTGTCCTCTGTCACCCGCGTGACGAAGTGCACGTTGCACTCAGAGAAAACCCACCTACATACATACATACATACGTGGGGAGGGGGTGCTGCACCCTCCTCGTCAAAACACCACAGGCAAGAACCGAGCTCTGCAGAGATGGATTGATGCGAGGAAACTCGCCGCTCGGAAAATACGGAAGAAAGCACACCCGTACCGCGAGGCGGACCGAGAGAGACACGAGACCGCAGCGGCCGTCAAGGCGGCTGCGAAGAAGAAGGCACGACAGGGGGACCTATCGTTCGGCACGTTCAACGTACGCACCCTCGCCTGCAGTGGTAGGAACCCCATCGGTCACAACGTGATGACGGTCATGCAGATTTTTTCCGTGACCGGCTGTGATGTCATAGGACTTCAGGAGACCCGACGAGAGGGGCAAGGTTCAATTGCGCACGACGGATACGTGATCATCTGGAGTGGCGCCCGTGCTGGCACCAAGGATAAGAGGGGCGTACACGGTGTGGGCATAGAGATCAAGAAGGCTATGTGGGAGAGTGTGGGCGAGGAAGGTAGAACGGTGGAGTGCATTTGCCCGAGGCTGATGAACGTGCGCCTACAAATTGGCCGCACCTGCGGAGAAGCTTTCGTGGTGGGGTACGCCCCCACGGAAACTCTCCGCACCACCGGGGGCGGTGATGTTAACGCCAAGGACTCCTTCTGGACTGCTATCGACGCAGCGATCCGGGTGGTTCACAGCCGTGACCATCTCGTGGTGCTAATGGACGCCAACGCACGCACCGGTAGGAGGCGAGACGGGTGCTGCGATGCCAAAATTATGGGCGCGTACGGACGCGACATTATGAACACCAACGGGGAACGGCTCCTTGGACTGGCATCAGACAACCAACTCTCCCTGACCAACACCTACTTCCGGACACCGAAAGTTGGAGTGCGGCACACATTCCAGAGCTCCAACAAGGGAAGGAGAAGTACCGCCTCGACTTCATCCTCATGCGTCAGACGGACCGGCGTTTCGTGCGTAGTGTCTCCGTCAAATGACCCGACTTCAAGGACTCTGACCACAACCTCGTGCTTAAGACTGTCCGCCTCCCCCCCCGTGTCGCAACCAGCCGACGAGTGCGGGGGAACAGCGGAAGCTGCCGGATCCGTATTGACCTCGAGCGGTTAACAAAGGACAAGCACCTAAGGGTCGCCTTCCACAACAGGGCCTCCAGCCGCCCTTTGCCCACGGCGCTCAGGCGGCCAACGGGAGAGACCGCCGCCGAGCTGACGGCTACGGTGATGTCGGCCGCTGCTGAGACCGCGCCGCTGGCGAGGAGCGCACGAGGGCAGAGAGGCTGGTACAGGAGCGAAGCGCAGCACGAGATCTCCGAAGCGTCTAAAAGCGATCAAGGCGGCCCAGCAGCGACTGCGTGGGGCCTCAAAGACCAGCGCCTTCGAGCCGACCTGAAGGCGATGCTCAAGGCGGCGCGGAAGCAGCGCAGCATCGCGGGGTGGACAGCACCGGAAACGTTTTTCGAGGGCTATGTACGGCAGTTCGAGAAGAAGAGCCGCGAGGGGGATCAGGCGGGTTTCTACAGGCACCTGAAGATGATCGACGTCGAAGGTAAGAGGTCGTTCACCTCTCAGAACATCAAGGACGAGGACGGCAAGGTCCTTCGGGACCCCACGTTTATTCGCCAACGGTGGGCACGGTGGTTCCACAAGCTTCTCAACACCAAGTCGCCGACCAT